GTTTTGAGTATTCCTGCATGAGATGTTTATGTTCGACTGGATACAACCGGTGCAGCGATAAAAATTGCGAGAGGGACTACTAACAATCAATAAAATAAATATAATTCGGTGAAACATGTACAGAGACAATAATTTTCATTCACGAAGAGAAGTATTGAGAGTAAAGTGTCTTTGAAAATCATGAGTCAGGTAAGCATAAGCTTATTTATGTTTTAAGCCGGCTTCCCGGTGTTTGCTCTTTTTCAAGATGAACTCGAGGCAAGAAAATCGCTCAGAGCTTTCTGTTTACAGCCAAAATCATAACTAAATAATCTTTGGAACATTTTCTTTGAATTTGCGGTCAAAAAATGTCTAAAGGCTTTTTAAACCTGATACTGTTGTAGGTTAGATCATTGCTCGTATATAAACTTAAGCCGCATAAACCATACGCTCGACTTCAGGAAACCGAAAAAAAAAACACATCAAAGACAACAATTTCTCAGGCTTACCAGTCGAGATGCTGCTTCTGAAGGTCATCAAGTGTTCCAGAATTTTCAACCCTCTTACGCCTCAAGCAAGGGCAAGTGAGTAAGCTCATTTTTGAAAACGATGCCATCCTAAATCGGATTTCCAATGACTTTGACAAGCGGTGCATTTGTCAACAAAAAGCGCAATAAACAAACCAGCCATGAATTACAGAACAATCTTGATAGCAGCTGTATTTCATTTTGTAAACCAAGTAGAAAAAGCCAGTTTAAAACATCACAAGATGACACAAAACTCTGTAAGCTCCAGCTATCAGTAAGCAAGTTTCCAGACGCTGCATAAATTTTCCGCATGAACTCAGCTGTCAAATTTTGACCAATCAGAACATAAAAATTGGACGTAGAGCGTGATCAACGCGTGACAGTGAGAAAAGTCAAAAGTGATTGCCTTCCCCGCATGTAAATGTAAAAGCCTGTTGAATTTTCGCGTCCGAGGTCAGTTCGAAATCAACATTTTAAAAGTGCGGCTCATGAACTCGACTTATTTCATATGCTTTTTAAAAAAATTGAACTTGAGCCTGCGATAATTGAAAAGTAGCAACCAGTCAGCGGATAAGTTAAAAAAACACTCGAACTCAGTGGGTCGATACCTGAGCCCGCGATAGGGTCAGGCGATACTGGTCAGCAGAAATACTATTTTGACAGCTGTCAATTAATCAAAACATGGATGTACAATATCAGGTTGCAGGCTCCCAAACTAGCTAGAAAGTGTGAGATTAAACATTGGTATACCTGTGGTGCGGACGGACGGAAGGTCGGGTGATCGGTGTACGGTCACGTGATTGCCGAATTTTCTAAGATGGATCGATTTTCTAAGCTATGGGACTTCGAATTGAGCCCGTGATCAAATAAAATATCAGCGCAAAACTTTAAACACTACGTGACCTCAGTGGATAGACTAATGAGCACGCGATACACTAAGGTGATGATGGTCAGCGTATACTCTAGTTTGACAGCTGTCAATTAACCTTCATTAGAATGGCGAATATTCGAATTAACAGACTACGAGTGTGAGTAAGACATATCCGTCCGGCATATAGTGGAAAATGCCAGATCGTCTACCTGAGCGAACCTGAGCCCACGTTATTAGTTTTCTAATAGTGGTCTGCACATGTCCCATTTTGACAGCTGTCAATTGACCTTAATTTGGCTTGCCAATATACCTTTAAACGACTGTCAGCCAACTGACAGCCTTGCCTGGCGTAGTTTTGTTTTTATGTTGAATTGGTAAGTGTGACATATTATATCCGCTTATTTGTAGGGGCAAAACGACTGGTCTTTCATCTGAGCCCGCGAGATAGTCATGTGATAATTGTCAGCGGATGGCTAATTTTGACAGCTGTCAATCTAATCGTACTCATACGGATGGCTTACATAACTAAGAGGCGGGTCAAGTTGTGCAAGATCCTTTGTGACATTTGACATCGGCTTACATGAAGCGTGTGTACGGGTGGGCGGGCGGGCGGGCGGGCGTACGCTACGTCATAACCAAATTTTCTCAGATGGATAGTTTACCAAATTTTCTTACCCATGGTGCTGCGCTCTGCGCGCGCTTCGCGCGCGCGAGGAGCTCCGCTATCAAATGCGACTCCCTAGCCTTACGAACTGAGTCACGTGAAGAACGAATTTTCTCTAGTGGGATTAAATGCATGTCAGTGTGAGAATGGTTAGAGTGAGAGAGAAAGTGTTCAGAAACAGTAGTGGGTTTAGGTTTAATGTTAATTTTGTCCACTGAGGCCGTTAGTAATGTATGGACAAGTGCCACTTGTCCATACATTACCGACGGCCTCATAAGTTATACCTTTTACGCTAAACATGAAACACGCTCCATCACTTCACACATTACTTGTAACACAAAAAAATGTGATCTATATGGTTCAGTGTAACCGTTGTAATTTACAATCTATAGGTGAAACTAAGTGACGTCTCAAGGACAGATTTAACGAACACAAACGTGAAATTAATCCACTGGAGAAAATTCGTTCTTCACGAGACTCAGTTCGTAAGGGTAGGGAGTCGCATTTGATAGATAAGGCCAGGACTCTTGAACCTCATGGCCTGAACCGGCCGTGACGAATTATTGTAATCCATATCCCTAGTATTTTTTCCTTTCCAGTTTTTATGTTGTACGTCATTTCCGCCTCTCCCTTTTAAACAATTTTTATTGCGACATTCTCCATCTATATAATATTGTGATTCCTACAAAAGCTCAGTGACATCTGTAAGCCTGAAGAAGGCTGGTATGGCCAGCCAAAATATCGTTATAAAAAACAATACACTTTGTTTTAAATCAGCTTTGCAGTAGTCTTTGGACTTCTCGTTCTTGGTTCTCTATATTTTGGCTGATTAGATCTCTTTTCTAGAGATCCAACGTTTACAACCACCAGGATCTTCGTCAACGGTTTTCGCAGTTGATTTAATCCTTTATTATTGAGATATATAGTAGGCAACGCGGGTGAGCCTCTTGAAAGAAGCCACGTCTAATTTGACCGCAATATAATCCGGAGTGATGAATAGACTTGGCTTTTTCTTCATTCCATTTACTTGGCTTCTGTCGGCAAATGGGTCACGTTAATCGTTCAGTTGCAACGTCCACTTATTACTAACACCATGACACATGATTCTTAAATGTATGGAAATTGGTTAAAGCTTCTTTCCTGCGAGGATGTTGTCTTTAGGAATGGCTTTTGTTTTAATAAAAAGACTCTGGGGACGAGTTAACCATTTTAACCCTAATATCAAAATTGAGATTCTCATTTACTGGCCCATACTTTTTGAATAGAAGTAGTGGGGAGAATTTGTTGAAATATCAATTCGACTCATTTTCCTTGATCATGGATTCAATTCTCATGTCCACTCAGTTTTACAAAGCATTGATATTCCAAGGAGAAATGTGATGCTGACCACTCTTAGGGCTTTTAAAAAGGGTTAACTCGGATGGGGGAGTCGATTGACGAAGTTTGTTAATTTAATGTAAACAGGCGACAAAACCCACACAACAGATTGAATGAACTTTTAATTTTTATTTCAAGATAACCCATCTAAAACTTACAGCAACAGCAAAAATACTTTTTTTCTTTTAAAACTAAATTAGAAAATTATTTTTCTTTAGAGATAAGATCTTTTAATTCATTGATGGCGATGATCTCGTAGCTTTTCCTGAAACAGAAAAACAAATTATTTGAATTTTAGGGCAATCATTCACAATTTCATTGCTATATGGCCTGGATCGCGATCACCAGATTCGCCTCAATATGAATTCATTCAATCAAAGGCTCTTGATCAAATTGAGCTGTCAGCTAAAAATTTACGAAATAAAGCCTGTGACAAGAACTGATTTAATCTTGATCTAATTTATGAATTGCAATTCCTATGTTTCCCTTCATTTCGGTTTGCTAAATCGGAAAAAAGGAAAAACAGGGTTAAATATAGGCGGAGACAGCGAGAGAAAAATTAAAAGGGAGTAGGTACTTGGGGATGCTAACCTTTCCCCCCCCCCCCCCCCCCTTTCTCTCTCGGCTGCTTTCTCCCCCCCCCCCGTGGTTTTTTTTTTTTTTTTTTTTTTCTCTCATTTTGTGGGGGTGCCCTCCGCGGAAACTGTTTATTGCATTCTTTTTTTTCCGATTCTATCCTCGCGC